GGGTGGGGGGTGGGGCACCACCCAGACCCCACGAGGCCAGGACCCCTTGGGCACAGATCCCCGGGCAGCAGTCCCGCTGTCTTTGCTGCGATGTGGCTTTCTACCTCACAGGGAACTCAAGTCTAAGTCTGAACTTGGTTCTCGGCCATTCTGGGGAAAAAATATTCACTTCCTAAGTTATTTCCAGAGATGTTACATGGGCTTATCACAGCCTGCATCTCAAGCCCAATTCTTTATGGTGGTTGCGTTTGGAATTGGCACAGAGGGTCGCCCTATTGCCTCCTCCTTCCTCGTTTCCAGGTGGGCCAAGCATGCCACCATCAGGAGCGACATCCTCCTTGGGAGGTCTGAACTTGACAAAACTGCCCCAATTTAACATCGTAGTGTACATCTGCCTTCTCACTGAATGTCTCCATGATCATTTCAATGAGCAAAAACCAAAGCAAGGTGGGACAGACAAGTGCGCCCAGGCCCAGTGTGCACGGCCTGTGGCGCCTCTGCCAGACACCTCCGGGCGCCTCCGTGCCAAGACCTCGGCTGTCTTCACATCACTGTCTTTTTGGCCACTTCCCGGTTGGGTCAAGCTAAACTTTTCCAGGCCCTGGGTGGGCAGGCAGGTGGGGGCGGGGCAGGTGCTCCAGCACGTGTGAGCCGGGGTGCAGCAAGGCGTCCTCCTCGCCTCGTCCTCTGAGGGTGGCACAAGCACATCTCAGAACCCACAACCCATGTTCCCTTGGCTCCCTGGCGGCAAGGCCCACACCCGCCACGTCGGGGACACAGGGAGGAGAGGAGGACTTTCGACAGCTCATTATAAGGTGTGCTGCTCGAGACTGGGGGTGGGTGGGGAGGGAAACAGTCGCGGGGGAGGCCTGGGGTACCCCTGCCTTCATTCTCAAGGCCTACGAAACCCACAACCCTGAAAGCTCAGCCCACCCAAATGCGGTGAGCTGGGGCTGGTGCTACCACTGTGGTTCCTGAAAGACCAAAAATGACAAAAGGACGGGGGCTCAAAGGAATGTGGAGTGTGGCTGTGAAGGGAAGATGTGGAATGTGACTGCCACCCCGCCTGCTGGGCGCCCACCTGCTCTGCCGGGGGTGGGAGGAGGGGTGGAAAACAGGGCACAGGCGAGGGGACACCCAGAGGGACAGGAACCTCAGAGTCACCGAGACTACAGCCACAAACACGGGGCAGAGAATTTGGTTTCAACATCAAGGGGACTCTTTCTACGCCTTCCACACTTTACCCACAGGAACCTGACCACAGGTGCAGTAAACAAAGGTGAGCAGGCCCTATGCAAACTGCCCAACACAGACACGGTGTCCAGGTGCTCAGGTGCTAGGGCAGAGCCAGGCGAACACACGTGGCCCTAGGGAGGAGGGGGTCCGCCCCGCCCCCCGGGCCAGGCCAAGCCGCCGGGCTGGTTCCAGTGCTCAGAACACAGGAGGTACCACTGTGGGACTGGCGCGGAAGCCCCACAACACGGACAGACATGAACGTCACCCCATACATGCTATTAAAGAGGAAAGAAAGAGGAGGAAGGAGACCGTAGCGGAACTGCTTTAAATACTGCATGCTACGCACGTCACGAGTCAGGGTATGGCGGGTGGGGCGCTGGGCAGGCGGGAGGTGCCAGGCACCCTGGGGCGGCACTGCCCTCCCCCACCGGGGTGCCCCCGCTCTGCGCCTACAGTCCATGTTCTAGGTGGAGGTGGCCGTGTGGGCTGCTCCGTCTACTCGCAGCAGCTGCAGACTTAGTTAAACCCGTCAGTGTGGTAGCTGGGGTGGGAGTCGGCCGTGAGCTGGGTGGTCTCCGTGGCGGACGCGGGCTGGATCACGATGGGCGTGTCTGTGGCCTCTGAAAAGCAAGCACCGCCGGCTCAGCGCACGAGGTGCCGCGGTGAGCACCAGCACGGGCCACTGGCGGCTCTGCAGCCGGGGCGGCTGCGGGACGGCGTCCGACGAGAAGCTCTCCGCTCACCTCCGCCCAGCACACCTGCCCGGCGGCCTCCGTCCCCGCCCGCCCGCCCCTCCTGGCCAAGTCACACGGCTTCGCGCAGTCTCAGCGGGGGGGGGACCGCTCGGCGAGTCCGCGTTTACCTCCGGCGTCCGCGCACTCGCCAGCCGCCACCACAAACACGCCCGCACAGGCTCAGTGCCCTCCTGTTTGACAAGACAGGGTGATGCACTCAGGGCTCCTTCAGGCGCCCCATGCATGCCCACCGCGCGGGCGGGCGCACTCACCCCTCTCGTCCGACTGCAGCTGCGCCTCCAGGTCCTCGGGCGACACGTAGACCTCGGCCTCGTCGCCCTCGGGCGGCCGCGGCTTGCACTTCCCGCAGCAGCAGTTGAAACAGCAGCACAGGCAGCAGCAACAGTAGCAGCACGTGAGCAGCCCGCAGAAGAGGAAGAGGGCCTGGGGGGCGGGCAGAGAACGTTCGCCGCGGCCCAGATGCGCAGCCGCGTGCGCACCTCCTCCTCATACGCCTGCCCCCCACTGTGGGCCCTGAGGCTCCCCGAGGAAGAGCGTGGCAGGCGTGCTACACAGGCCGAGTCTGCCTTTTGAGACCAAGTGCAAAGAAAGGAAATCCCAGGGAAGACGGGACAGGCAGAAAGAGATGGTTTTTTTGAAAGAAACGGGTTTCTGTAAAGACAGGGATGAGGACTGACAAGCAAACTTGCCAACAAGGGGCTTCCCTAGAGCTAAAGGCCGCGGCTCACTCAGGCTCTTTGGCTTTCTTTGTGACAGACACGTGGGATAAATTAAACACAATAAATGAAGAAATGTTGATAAAATAAAGGATGTAAGTCAAATGTTTCTGAAGTCAGGTTTCAAATAAGTCTTCCCTAAGAACAAAAATTTGCCCACTGTGTGATGGAAAGATTATCATCCTATCTCTGTCCTTTAGGGACCTGAGCCCTCCTGGTCTGCAAGGCTCCGCTCAGCCATTCTCAGTGCTGGGCTGACAGTCAGGAACACAGCCAGCGCCTGCACCCGTGCCCTCACCCGCACACACACCCTCCCCCAACCTTGGCCATGGCTGACCAAAACACAGCCAGCGCCTGCACACACGCCCCCCGCCCCTCACCTTGGCCCACCAACTGGAGAGCACGAAGTAGGTGTTCACGTTCTCCTCGCCAAACTGCTCGGCCACATAGAGGCCCAGGGAGCCGTACTTGTCATAGATGTTCCTTTTTGTGGCATCCGTGAGGATCGCATGGGCATTGTTGATCTCCTTGAATTTGTCCGCCGCCTCCGGGTTATCAGGGTTCTTGTCGGGGTGATACTTCAAGGCAAGTTTCCTGCAAACCAAAACCGTCTCCTGGTTTTCAACTTGGTCTCAAGTTTCATGCCCACCACTGGTCAGGGTCCAGCGGAAGGAAATGCTTACCCGTTACCAGCTCGCTCTCCCCAACTGCTTCCCGACTTTGCACAGAACTTCAGAATGTCGGAATCAGAAGAAATCACGCAACCTTACTGCTCAACAGAGATGGAGTGGAGGCCCGTGAGGTCACAGGCACTGGGCAGCCCTGGGGTGAGGACTGACGGGCTGCACGAGCAGCTGACCAGGCACAGCCAGTAAGGACAGCATTCACGAACTTCCGATGGTTGAAGGCCCACCCTGCTGCCACCTCTATGCCCGTCTGACTCCCCGCACGGAGGAGCGAGGACGACACTATTGTTCGTTTAGTACGACTCCAAGGATGCACCAGGAGGACTATTTGAAATGTCTGGGTTAAATGACGGTGAGTGTCTCTCAGGACTCAGGGAAGAGAACCTGAGAGTTAAGTTCTTCAAGTTCTATTGAGGCGCTAGCAGAGTGAATATGACCTGTCACCATTGGGCTAAAACAAGCAGACCATTCAAATCTTCCCAGGGCTTTGTCTGAAGCTAGGGGGTCTCCACGCAAGTTCAGACCCTACTTCCTGGCAGAAGTGGTTGCTCTAGTTAAGACAGTTTGTAACATCTATAGAGTTCTGGATCCCTGGTGATGCAGTGGTTAAGAGCTACAGCTGCTAACCACAAAGCTGGCTGTTCAAATCCACCAGCCACTCCTTGGAAACCCTATGGGGCAGCTCTACTCTGTCCTAGAAGGTCGCTGTGAGTCAGAATTGACTCCGTGGCATCTAACAACAACATAGAATACTATTTTTTATTGTTGCCAAGAAAATACTAAGAATGTAACAATTTGATGCTATAAGAAGCACACTATAAATACAAATATGCAACAGAACTGTTACCATTTAACTATGAGGTGGTCAGGATAAACATGAGGGCAATGGTTCCTGGTAAAAGAGACCAAACCACACCAGGGGCAGGTATGTCCTCCTGGGAGCTGGGGCCATGTTTGTCATCTTACCGATAGGATTTCTTAATGTCGTCTGAGGTCGCATTCTTGTCTAGCCCCAGCACATGGTACAGCGACTCCCCAGAGGTGGAGAGAGAGCGCTGCCTCTGGTCAGCCATGTTAGGCTAATCTACAAGACAAAAGGGGAAACATCAAAAAGAATAGACCAAAATTCTGCATGTGGAGCTGATGGATTTTCAGGCACTGTCTTGTGGGGTTTATAAGGTACCAGACATGGTACACCTGGCACTACAGCACAAAGGGCCTGTCTGGGGCAAGGTCTCTGCGTTCTCCTGAAGTGCTACAATACTGCTAGCCCAAGCAGACTGTGAAAAATTAAAGGTATATGTTGTAATCCCTAAAGCAATCATTACATTAAAAAATGCAAGGAGGTATAGCTACAAAGCTAAGAGAAAAATTAAAATGAAATTCTTAAAAATATTCAATGACATGAAGGCAAGAAAGGGAAAAGAAGAAACACAGAGGTAACAAGCAGAAAGAAAGTAATAAATTACTAAGCCTAAATCTAATCATATCAATAATTCAATGTCCGTGGATGAAAGGCTCCAACTACAAGGCAGAGATTATCAGAACGGGTAAAACTGCTGCCTACAAGAAACACACTTTAAAGACAGAGCTTCCAAACACAGGAAACAAAAATGGAAAGAGTCAAAGGGAGAAAGAGGCAACCCCACAAGCAGAGAAAATTTTAACACCCCATCTCAGAAACTGATAGAATAGTTTTCAAAAACCCATCAAAACTTTTATGATTTGAGCAATACTATCAACCACCATGACCTGACTGATACTGACAGAGTACCCAACAACTGTAGAATATATATTCTTTTCAAGTGTACATTGCATGTTCACCAAGACATGCCACATGTTGGGTCTTAAAACAAGTTTCCATAAACTTAAATGGGTTGAAATCATACACAATATGTTCTCTAACCTTAACAGAATTAAACTGGAAACCCAACAGATATGTAGGAAAGTCTCAAGTATTTAACAGTAAACAACACACTTCTAAATAACACGAAGATCAAAGAAGAAATTACAAGGAAAATTTGAAAATATTTTAAATCAGATAATAATGAAAATGGAGCCCTGGTAGCACAGTGGTTAAGAACTTGGCTGCTAACCAAAAGGTCAGCAGTTCGAATCCACCAGTTGCTCCTTGGAAACGCTATGGGGCAGTTCTGCTCCGTCCTGTAGGGGCCGCTATAGGTTGGAACTGACTTGATGGCACACAATAACAACAATAAGGAAAATACAACATATTGAAACTTGTGGAATGCGACTAAAACGTGTATTGGTTTAAAATGCTTGTATCAGAAAAGACCAAAAAACAGACAGACAAACCCGTTGCTGTCGAGTCGATTCTGACTCATAGCGACCCTACAAGACAGAGCAGAACTGCCCCATGGAGTTTCTAAGGAGCATCTGGTGGATTCAACTGCTGATCTTTTCATTAACAGCCATAGCTCTTAACCACTGTGCCACCAGGGCTCCATCAGAAAAGAAGAGAGGTCTAAAATTAAGACCTAAGGTTCCACCTTATGAAGCTAGAAGAGTAAACCCAATATACATGGAATGAAGGACATTAATAAAGGGCAGAAATCAGTGAGCTAGAAAACATACAAACAATAGAGAATTTTAACAAAGCCAAAAGTCGAATTTTGAGAAGAACAACAAAACTGATAAACAACTAGCCAGACTGGCCAAGAAATAGAGCTCAAATCATTCACATCAGCAACAAGAGAGAGGTTCATCTCCTACAGGCATGAAAAAGATAATAATATTATGAACGGCTTCATGTCAAGAAATAGGGAAAGTCAGATGAATTGGACAAATACCTTGAAAAATACAACTTACCAAAATTGACACAAGATGAAACAGAAAATCTGAATAGACCTGTATCTGTTAAGGAAATTGAATTTGTATTAAACAAAAACAAACAAAAAACCTTCCCACAAAGAAAATTCCAGGGTGAGATGGTTTTTCTGCCAAACATTCAAGGAAAAAATGATGTTAATCTTAAACAAACACTTTCAAAAACAGGAGGGAACTCTTATCAACTCACTTTTTGAGGCCAGCATAATGCTGACACCAAAACATGACAGACATGACCAAAAAAAAAAAAAAAAAAAACTCATGAACATAGATGCAAAAAGTCTTTAACAAATTATTAGCAAATCAAACCTAACAGTATACAAAAAGCTATATACATCATGATCAAGTGGAAATTATTCCAGGAACGCAAGCTTGACTTAACATTTTAAAATAAATCAAAATAATTCACTACATTAACAGAATAAAGATAAACCAAATAATCATCTCAAAAGATGCATCTGACAAAATTCAACATTAATTCATGATAACAAAAACTCAGCAAACCCGGCTACCACCACTGACTGCTCTGACCAGGATCACAACAGAGGGTTCTGGACAGAGCTGGAGAAGGATGTAGAGCATAATTGTAACTCACAAAAAAAGACCAGATTTACTGGCCTAAAGGAGACTGGCGAAACCCCAAGACTATGGCCCCCAGACACCCTTTTAGCTCAGTGGTGAAGTTACCTCCGAGGTTCACTGTTCAGCCTGGGAGTGGACAGCCCCGTAAAACCAAGTAAGACTAACGAGGTACCAGAGTCCAGTGACAAGGGCCAGAAGGCAGAAGGGGACAAGGAAGCTGGTGATAGGGAACCCAAGGTTGAGTAATGATATTGTTGATGTGTTGTGAGGTTGTTAACCATTGTCAGAGGGCAACATGTGTAGTGACTGTTGGGTGGGAGGCTGTTCTGTTCTGTGGGCCTTCGTCTTGGGTGGGAGTGGCAGCGCGGTTCGAGGAGTGTGGTCAGTGTCGCTGAGCTGTGCATGTTGGAGGTTTTTGGGGTCGTGTGTCTTTGGCTATGTGTATTTTCACCAAGGAAAAGGGGAGGTTGAGAGGTTGGAGGGTTGATGTGTTGTGGGGTTGTCGACCGATGTTATGGGACAGCATGTGTACTTCTGTTTCATGGGAAACTGTTTGTTCTGTGGGCCTTCACCTGAAGTATAATAGAGAAAAATAAAATATAAAAAAATAAAAACTTAGCAAACTAGGAATAGAGGGGAACTTCCTCAGTCTGATAAATGGCACCTATGAAATGTGCTAAAAGAAATAATAATGTCAATCAAGAATTGTATGTCCAACAAAACTATCCTTCAAAAATGAAGGCAGTATTAAGACATTCCCAGATAAACGAAAACTAACAGTCCATCACTAGTAGATCTGCTCTGCCAGAAATGATAAAGAGAGTCCTTCAGGCTGTAACAAGGGGTTATTAGACAGTAACTGAAATCCACATGAAGAAATAAAAAAAATCAGTACAGGTAACTACATAGGTAAATATAAAAGTCAGCCAGCATTAATGTACTTTTTGTTGTAACTCCTCTTTTTTCCTATTTAAGAAACAAACTGCATAAAACTATAATTATGTAAGAGCAAATTTTGTATACTATTGAAACTAAGTTGGTATTAATTCAAACTAATTATAAATTAAGATTATAACTGTAAACCTCCAGGGCAACAACTAAGAAAACAACTAAAAAACATGTAGTAAAAGAATTGAGAAAGGACTCGAAATGATACATTAGAAAACTAACACAAAAGAAGGCAGTAATGGAGAAACTGAGGAACAAAAAAGATGTAAGACATATAGAAAACAAACAGCAAAATGGCAGGAGTAAGTCCTCCCTTATCAGTAGTTACATTAAATGTAAATGGATTACACTCTACAATTAAAAGGAAGAGATTGACAGAATGGATAAAAACAAAACAAAACAAATATGATCCAATAATATGCTGCTTACAAGAAACTCACTTTAGACCCAAAGACACAAATAGGTTGAAAGTGAAAAGATGGAAAAAGATATTCCATGCAAATAGTCAGAAGAGAACTAGAGAGGCTATAGTGATGTCAGACAAAATAGACATTAAGAAAAAAATTGTTATGCGATCAAGAAAGACATTACATAATGATAAAAATATCAATTCATCAAAAAGATATAACAAATACAACAATTACGTTAGGCCACAAAACAAGTTTCAGTAAACTTTAAAAGACTGAAATCATACAAAGTATCTTCTCTGACCACAATGGAATGAAATTAGAAATAACAGAAGGAAAACACAATTCACAATTATGTGGAAATTAAACAACGTACTCTTTTTTTTTAAGCATAAGTTTATTATTAGTTTCAATTTATATTATTCTTTTTTTTATTGTGCTTTAAGTGAAAGTTTACAATTCAAGTTAGTTTCTCATACAAAGATTTATACACACATTGTTATGTGACTCTGGGTGCTCTCCCTATACTGTGACAGCACATTCCTCTTTTCTACCCTGGATTTACTGTGTCCATTCAGCCAGCTCCTGACCCTCTCTGCCTTCTCATCTTGCCTCTGGACAGGAGCTGCCCATTTAGTCTCATGTATCTACTTGAGCAAAGAAGCACCCTCTTCACGAGTATCATTTTATGTCCCGTAGTCCAGTCTAATGTTTGTCTGAAGAGTTGGCCTCGGGAATGGTTTCAGTTTTGGGCTAACAGAAAGTCCAGGGGCCATGTCTTCCAGGGTCCCTCCAGTCTCAGTCAAACCATTAAGTCTGGTCTTTTTACTAGAATTTGAGTTCTGCACCCCACCCTTCTCCTGCTCCATCAGGGACTCTCTGTTGTGTTCCCTGTCAGGACGGTCTTTGGTGGTAGCCAGGCACCATCTAGTTCTTCTGGTCTCAGGCTGATGGAGTCTCCAGTTTATGTGGCCCTTTCTATCTCTTGGGCTAATATTATCCTTGTGTCTTTGGTGTTCTTCATTCTCCTTTGCTCCAGGTTGTTTGGGACCAATAGATGCATCGCAGATGGCTGCTCACCAGCTTTTTAGACCCCAGACACCACTCACCAAAGTGGGATGCAGAACACTTTCTGAATAAACTTTGTTATGCCAGTTGACCTAGATGTTCCCTGAAACCATGGTCCCCAGACTCCTGCCCCTGCTACTTTGTCCTTCGAAGTGCTTGGTTGTATTCAGGAAACTTCTTAGCTTTTGGTATAGTCCAGTTTAAACAAGACACTCTTAAACAACCAATGGGTAAAGAAGAAATCACAAGGAAAATTGGAAAATACTTTGAGATGAATGAAAACGAAAGGACAACATACCAAAACTTATGGGATGCGGCAAAAGCAGCACTCAGAGGGAAATTTATACTTGTAAATACCCACATTAATTAAGAAGAACGGTCCCAAACCAATAACCTAAACTTCTACCTCAAGGAACTAGATAAAGAAGAGCAAAATAGACCCCAAGCAAGCAGATGGAAGGAAATAATAAAGATTAGGGTGAAAATAAATGAAGTAGAGACTATAAAAACAATGTTTCGTTAGGTGCCGTCAAGTTGTTTCTTACTTATAGCAACCCTATGCACCACAGAACAAAACACTGCCCGGTCCTGCACCATGCTCACAATTGTTGTTATGCTTGAGCCCATTGTTGCAGCCACTGTGTCAATCCATCTCTTTGAGGGTCTTCCTCTTTTTCACTGACCCTCTACTTTACCAAGCATGATGTCCTTCTCCAGGGACTGATCCCTCCTGACAATATGTCCAGAGTATGTAAGACGTAGTCTCATCATCCTTGCTTCTAAGGAGCATTCTGGTTGTACGTCTTCCAAGACAGACCTGTTCGTTCTTTTGGCAGTGCATAGTATATTCAATATTCTTCACCAACACCACAATTCAAAGGCATCAATTCTTCTTTGGTCTTCCTTATTCACTGTCCAGCTTTCGTATGCATATGATACGATTGAAAATACCATGGCTTGGGTCAGGCACACCTTAGTCTTCAAGGTGATATCCTTGCATTTCAACACTTTAAAAAGGTCTTTTGCAGCAGATTTGCCCAATGCAATGCATCTTTTGATTTCTTGACTGCTGCTTCTATGGGCATTGATTGTGGATCCAAGTAAAATGAAATCCTTGAAATCCTTGACAACTTCA